CTAACTTATCTCCCTTGTTGTAAGAATAGAAGACAGTGAAGGTATGACAGCACTACCCCTAACTTATCTCCCTTGTTGTAAGAATAGAAGACAGTGAAGGTATGACAGCACTACCCCTAACTTATCTCCCTTGTTGTAAGAATAGAAGACAGTGAAGGTATGACAGCTCTACCCCTAACTTATCTCCCTTGTTGTAAGAATAGAAGACAGTAAAATTATGACAGCACTACCCCTAACTTATCTCCCTTGTTGTAAGAATAGAAGACAGTGAAGGTTTGACAGCACTACATCTAACTTATCTCCCTTTTTTTAAGAATAGAAGACAGTGAAAGTATGACAGCACTGCCCCTAACTTATCTCCCTTGTTTTAAGAATAGAAGACAGTGAAGATATGACAGCACTACCGCTAACTTATCTCACTTGTTTTAAGAATAGAAGACAGTGAAGGTATGACAGCACTACATCTAACTTATCTCCCCTGTTATAAGAAGTCAGCCTTTAAAGGCTAACAGGACAGTAACAAAGTAAAGTGCATTGTGCAGTGTATTACCAAAACATAGAATGATCTGATACCACAAAGTGTAGCAATGAATTATACGTTAATTTTCCATTTTTCCATTTGTGAGAGCATTATATACTGTAATACATTGTGAGTCTTGTTACTACTTATTCACTACTTCAACTTTCTTGTTGTTTAAGACAACAAAAGGAGTTGATCAAGGCTCTAGAGACCCCTGTGGAGAAACGTGCTCGAAGACTGGCTAAGAAAGAGGCTAAAGAGAGGAGACGAAAAGAAAAAATGGGCTGGGACAAAGACTACCTGGTAAGATATATGCTGTCAGACAATGACGTGAAAGATCTGAAATGAAAAGTTATAGGATTGGACATAAAACATGCCCATAATATAGTTGTCAATACATGTTCACAACTAGATCTTCCATATGTAAAGATACCATTTTCCACAATGACAACCTGATGTATCATATCTAATAGCAGGTAAATAATTAAGTCAGTATTATAGGTACATAACTCCTGCACCAACTGGTCCATTTACATTTCTATACACAAGTGTGATCCATATTATTTGTGTGCATTTCAATAGTGTGTGTTGCAGGTCCAGGGTAACATCATACATTTAGTAGATTTCTGTTTGCTGTAGGGTTACACCAATGCTGACAATCCATTCGGAGATGAACACTTACTGGATACATTCACATGGGGGAAGAAATTGGAAAAGGAAGGAAAGAAGAACCTGACAAAGGTTGAAATCCAGCATCATCACAAACAGAAAATGGATGAAAGTAGAGTAAGCATCATTGAGGAATTAAAACTTGATAAAAACATTTCTGACAATAACAGGCGTGACTTGGTACATAATGTTTCTCTATCAATAACAGATGTCACTTGGTACATAATGTCTCTGACAATAACAGGTGTGACTTGGTACGTAGTGTTTCTCTGTCAATAACAGGTGTGACTTGGTACATAATGTTTCTCTGACAATAACAGGTGTGACTTCGTACATATGTTTCCCTGACAATAACAGGTGTGACTTGGTACGTAGTGTTTTTCTGACAATAACAGGAGTGACTTGGTACACAATGTCTCTCTGACAATAACGGGTGTGACTAGGTACATAATGTTTCTCTGACAATAACAGGTGTAACTTGGTACGTAGTGTCTCTCTGACAATAACAGGTGTGACTTGGTACATAATGTCTCTCTGACAATAACAGATGTGAGTTGACACATGGGTGTTCCTTATTATTTCATACTGTCACCGGTAAATCACAGAAATGTACCTTTAAAAGAAGAAAGTATCCATCGTACTTGGTTTCTCTTGAATAATACTGGCCCTCTCTAGCTCCCTCATCACCAGACCACCGCAAATATTTTTTTCCACAAAAAGTGTTTGAATTACTTTTGAATAATATTTTCATATTGTGTGGAAAACCTTTGTACCTAGTACATGCTAGAAGTAAACATCAAATTGTGTAATTACTTTCATGACAGCGTGAACTGGAGAAGGTGAAGAAAAGAAGACTTGAAAGGGAGAAAGAAGACGAAGAAAGGGAAAAAGAAAGAGTAAGTTTATTAATGATAAAAATCTAAAAAAAAATATTATAAGTTGACAGATTGTGATAGTTCTGGAAATATTATTATAACATCATGATACTCGAGGACCAACCATGATACAATACTGATGTAGTTATGCTGAATCCCTATACATATATTTAATGTAAACTGAATTCCATATCAACAGTAAATTTTGATTACCTCATTAATAAAGATCTGATATTAAATGACAAACGTCATACAGTAGCAATTATAGTCTCCCACCTACTCCCTGCAGGTAGGGCATAAGAATTGTACTTGCTGCCCCCATTGCATGATCGTAAGAGGCAACTAATTTGGGATTATCTTTTCTCTTCTTTCTAAACAACTTTCTTCCTCCTAATGTCTCCGTTGACAATGCCTCACTTTTGGCCTTTAGTTGAGCGTTCGTCCCTGTGAGGAAGGCTTTGGGTTCTGTCCCCTGGCCGAGACATACCAGAGTCTGTAAAAATGGTAGTTTCTACTCCTGCTAAACGCTCAACAATTTAGGAGTGGGGTGACTGGTTCGCCTGTTGTCAGTATAATGTGACCAGGTGGGGTGTCCTGGTGGGTGTCTTCAGCAGTATGTTTCAGTGAGGTAGCACTATAACGTCGGCATCAGTTTCGCGCTATCACAAGGAGACACACGAACATATCGCAGCCTCCCAAAACACACATGCATACACTACATGCATGCATTTTGCACACAGGGGAGGCCGTCCTTAAATGACCATAGCTGTTGATAGGACGTTAAACAATACTAAACCAAACCAAACCGTCTCACACCTAAAGATCTGATCATTTTGTGTTCTGTAAACTGTTGTGATATTTTTGAAATGATTAAAACATTTTTGTTATTTTTAGGAGACGATGCAGAGAGAAAAAGAAGTGGAATACTTCAGGGAATGGGAGAAACAGGAGGACAGTGTATGTACCCACCTTAAACTATAATCTGACTGGTGTACTATCAGAGGACAGTTGTTATACCCACTATAAACTATAATCTGACTGGTGTACTATCAGAGGACAGTGTATGTCCCCACCTTAAACTATAATCTGAATGATCTGACTGGTGTACTATCAGACAAGCAGATCAAGTTTAAAACTTTGTGACCCACTATAAACTATAATCTGACTGGTGTACTAGCAGAGGACAGTGTTTATCCCCACCATAAACATAAACTATAATCGGACTGGTGTACTATCAGAGGAAAGTGTATGTCCCCACCATAAACATAAACTATAATCTGACTGGTGTACTATCAGACAACCAGATCAAGTTTAAAACTTTGTGAGGTTTCCATGACAAAAACTATAACTAGTTGTGAAAGTCTTGAAGTTGCTGGACTGAAGGAACAGGATATTTTGTTTGTGTGTATAATATAGTATATAAGTTCCATGAACACATGTAAGATAAGTAAGAATGTTTTGCAATTGAAAATGTTTAAGATTTGTTTTAAAAGTTATTTTAATTTTACAGAATGATAGACAGCAATGCTAATCGTTGTTTAAATTGACCTTTTCCAGTTTCACTTGAACCAGGCAAAGATGAGATCCAAGATCAGAATTCAGGATGGCCGAGGTATGATGACATTGATATAGATTTCATACTCTCTAAGGGAATAGAATGTCTCCTGCATGAGAGTGAACAGGTGCTGGACACACTAATATAATGTGTATATACTATACAATAGTACTACTATATACATGTTTGTACACATCATATACGTGTGTTCAGCACCTGTGTGAGAGAAGTGATTAACAATTAAATAGTATTGTGTGTTAATGATGGAATAACTAAATACATATATCACAACCTAAAGTCATGTCTGAGGAAGAACAATAATATTTACTGTTACGACAATATTTTTCTGCATCATCTTCAGTTTGGGCTGGGTTCATAGTCATTAAAGTAGATTTTTTCTACTGAGAAAGTTTGAGCATTTGGTGATAATTACCATTATAATTAGCTTGTGAATTTATATTTTCAGTGTTTCAATATTTGAGAAAAGATTTATATATCGACATGGTGTGATGTACATACTTAAACCTGGATCTCCTTTTACTCAACAGCCAAACCTATTGACTTGCTGGCCAAGTACATAAATGCAGAAGACGATGATCTGGCGATTGAAATGCACGAACCTTATACCTACCTCTACGTAAGTCATGTGTACGATTACGTCCTATGATACTTATACCTACCTCTACGTAAGTCATGTGTACGATTACGTCCTATGATACTTATACCTACCTCTACGTAAGTCATGTGTACGATTACGTCCTATGATACTTATACCTACCTCTACGTAAGTCATGTGTACGATTACGTCCTATGATACTTATACCTACCTCTACGTAAGTCATGTGTACGATTACGTCCTATGATACTTATACCTACCTCTACGTAAGTCATGTGTACGATTACGTCCTATGATACTTATACCTACCTCTACGTAAGTCATGTGTACGATTACGTCCTATGATACTTATACCTACCTCTACGTAAGTCATGTGTACGATTACGTCCTATGATACTTATACCTACCTCTACGTAAGTCATGTGTACGATTACGTCCTATGATACTTATACCTACCTCTACGTAAGTCATGTGTACGATTACGTCCTATGATACTTATACCTACCTCTACGTAAGTCATGTGTACGATTACGTCCTATGATACTTATACCTACCTCTACGTAAGTCATGTGTACGATTACGTCCTATGATACTTATACCTACCTCTACGTAAGTCATGTGTACGATTACGTCCTATGATACTTATACCTACCTCTACGTAAGTCATGTGTACGATTACGTCCTATGATACTTATACCTACCTCTACGTAAGTCATGTGTACGATTACGTCCTATGATACTTATACCTACCTCTACGTAAGTCATGTGTACGATTACGTCCTATGATACTTATACCTACCTCTACGTAAGTCATGTGTACGATTACGTCCTATGATACTTATACCTACCTCTACGTAAGTCATGTGTACGATTACGTCCTATGATACTTATACCTACCTCTACGTAAGTCATGTGTACGATTACGTCCTATGATACTTATACCTACCTCTACGTAAGTCATGTGTACGATTACGTCCTATGATACTTATACCTACCTCTACGTAAGTCATGTGTACGATTACGTCCTATGATACTTATACCTACCTCTACGTAAGTCATGTGTACGATTACGTCCTATGATACTTATACCTACCTCTACGTAAGTCATGTGTACGATTACGTCCTATGATACTTATACCTACCTCTACGTAAGTCATGTGTACGATTACGTCCTATGATACTTATACCTACCTCTACGTAAGTCATGTGTACGATTACGTCCTATGATACTTATACCTACCTCTACGTAAGTCATGTGTACGATTACGTCCTATGATACTTATACCTACCTCTACGTAAGTCATGTGTACGATTACGTCCTATGATACTTATACCTACCTCTACGTAAGTCATGTGTACGATTACGTCCTATGATACTTATACCTACCTCTACGTAAGTCATGTGTACGATTACGTCCTATGATACTTATACCTACCTCTACGTAAGTCATGTGTACGATTACGTCCTATGATACTTATACCTACCTCTACGTAAGTCATGTGTACGATTACGTCCTATGATACTTATACTTACCTCTACGTAAGTCATGTGTACGATTACGTCCTATGATACTTATACCTACCTCTATGTCTATCTCTGTGTCAGCTGTCAGTACAATTATAACTACCGGTATCATATTGTATACGTTATGAAAAAGTCACATTCTTTGAGCTGCATTTAGGTAAGTGTTTTATGTGCACCACACATTCTTTGTGAGGTGGTAACATTAATTTCCACATGAGAGAAAAATATAAAATCCATTAATTCCATAAGTTGAAAAATATGAGGTATAAATTTCAAGGTAAAGGAATTAACACAATTATCTACATTTCCTATCTGACTGCACACATTTTACTTAATTAAACTGATTGTTATCTCTCCACCAGTTACTAGAATATCACCCTGAACAGTACACATGTCTTACGTTATCTCTCCACCAGTTACTAGAATATCACCCTGAACAGTGCACATGTTTTAAGTTATCTCTCGACCAGTTACTAGAATATCACCCTGAATAGTTCTAAAGTTATCGTTTGATTAGTTATACCTGATAAAAAAGGCACATGTCGAGGAAATGTAAACACAGCGGATTTACCCTACACAACACATGTATAATAATAATAATAATAATATATAACATATATATAGCGCCCTATATAATTTGTATAATTACTCTAAGGCGTATTACAACATATGAATAATAGTAATGGTTATAATTGTGAAAACAAACAACAAAGGCTTGCAATCACTCTCATACATTAAACAAGCATTATTATGTGCCCATAATTGAACAAATAAAAGGGTGGTATTTACATGACATCTTTGNTTATTATGTACCCATAATTGAACAAATAAAAGGGTGGTATTTACATGACATCTTTGCAAAGATTCTAAAATGCAGACGTGAAGAGGTGAGTTTTTATGTCCCTCTTGAACTTGGCCAGGGTATTTGACTTCCTAATAGCAGATGGTAAGCTATTCCACAACGTAGCCGAAACCCTACCAAAGCATCTGTTTCCG